GGACCTGTGGGCTGGCCTATGCCCATCCTGACATAGTGACGGGCCGGACCGGCACAACCCGTCACTGTTCAAAGTACAGCACAACCCATAAATATTGATGGGCTGGGCTGGGCCAATATATATCAGCCCGTAGGCCGGCCCGGCATGGCCCATGAAAAATCATGGGCCAAGCTAGACTGGCCCGTCTAGGCCCATAATGGCCCGGCCCAGCCCAGCCCATAATATTTTTATGTTTTTTTTTCTTTTTTTTAGTAATTTTGTATACATCTTATGTATAATTATCCTTACTGTACTCTTTTTTTCTTATCAAGGTTTTGTTCCATTGGGTTTTCATTAGAAAAATTTTTATTTAATGAGGTAATCGTAAATAAAATATCATTTTTCACATTTTCATTGACTATTTAAACTTATATATTTGTTAACTTGTTTAAAAATTCAAAATTCAAAAATAAAAAAAATTTAAAATTACATGCTTAGACAGGCTGGTCCATCGAAATCCATGATGGGCTAAGATGGGCCTTGAGTGGGCCGGCCCAGTCAAGGCCTATGGCACGGCCTATCCTGGCTCGCGGCACGGCCCAGCCTGACCCACATAAAATTGTCTCGTGGTGTGGGCTGGGCCAAGGTCATTCTTATACGAGCCGGTCCGGCCTGGTCCACAAAATTCATGGACTGGGCCGGCCCGGCCTGCGGCCCACGTGGGCCTAAGGAGAACGGGCCGGGCTGACCCATTCTTGCATCTCTACACCCATTCCGCTTTTCAGATTTCATTCAAAGCTTGGTCCATCACTTTCACATTTTTTTTCTTTATTTGTTACGAATTAGCCATAGTTGGTTCATTCTTTTTTTTTTTCTTTTCAGTCCGCTTTTCTTTATTCAAAGCTTGGTATGTGGTATTGTATTGCCATATTTGTTTTTTTTATTTGTTACAAATTAGCCATAGTTTGTGTGTTTCCAAATAATTATTCAAAAATATTTTAAAAACTTTATTTTTTTTATTTTTTTATTTTCTTTAATGTATTTTTTATCAAGTTTTAATTTCATTTGGCCAAAAAAATAATTATTACTATCAACTCCAATTAAGCTTAAATTACAGTTTTTAGACTCAACCAAATTTTATTCCATATTTGGATTAAAAATTCTATTACACATCCAAACGTTAGTTCGAACTTAGAGATGCAACTCGGGGCCGCCCTGGCCCATTCTACTAAGGCCAATGCAGGCCATGGGGCGGGCCGGTCTAGCCCACAATTTTAATGGGCCGTTAAAATTGTGGGATGAGCCGGCCCGATCCTTATAAGAACACCCCTCGGACAACCCACACCACATGTTAATTTTACGTGGGTCAGGTAGAGCCGTGCCATGAACCGTGAACAGGCTAACCCATTCTAGCCCATCTACAAGTTAGGATGGGTAGGCTCATCAAGGGCTAGCCCATCTTAGCTTGCAATTTTGTAATATTTTTAATTGTTATTTTTGAATTTCTAGACAAGTTAACAAATATAAAAGTCTAAATAGTCAATAGAAATATAAAAATAGATTTTATTTATGACTGCCTCATTAAAAATCTTTTTCAGAAAAATATAGTAGGACAAAACCTTGATAAGAAAAAAAGATTCAAGATTAGTAAATATATATAATATATATATAGTTAGATTAAAATGGGCATTCGGTGGGCTGGCCTAGTGGATCTATATGGGCTGGACTAAGTGGGCCTTATAAGGGTCGAGATGGGCCTGGTCGGGCCGGCCCAGCATGGCTCAAGCCCAGATTTCATAGGCTGAGAAATGCTAACCCAGCCCAACCCACCATTATTGATGGGTTGGGTAGTGCCAACCGACACTGTAGTAGGATGGGCCTGGGCCGGCCCACAAGCCCCAGCCCATAGTTGCATATCTATTCGAATTACTCTTTAAACCACACTGTTTAAATTTTTCTATTTAAATCAACACAATTCAAATCAACAAACTAAACGACTACTTAATTCCTTCACGTGCTTGTCGACTAAAACTCGAGTTCAAGTTTCCCTTTCAACTCGAGTTTAGAAACTCGAACTCAAATTAATGAACAGTATTTTTTCTATTCTTAAAAATGCTATAACTTTTTCGTTTTAATTCTAATTGAGATGATTTTTTTTTCTACGCGTTGACAACGAAAAGACGAATAAAACCTGACCCATATACCCTATTAAAATTTTTCATCAGCATTGAGTTTTTATTAAAATACTATCTAAATACAAATTCAAGTTTTGACTCACTCAAACACAAACTCAAAAGGATTTTTATCTCAAACCATAACTCAAATGTACACAACTAAACACAAACTCAAATTACGACTTCAACTCAAGTTATAACTCAAAATCTACACTCAAGTTACCTAACTCAAAAACATCAAAAGAATAAGCCCTTTTACAGATGCCAAAACTACCAATGTAGAAAGTAGATCTAAATGGGAGCCCTTGAGATTTAATTTAATTTTCTAAAAATTCGATATTCTAGCACTCATTCCCTCGTCAATATCTAAAGTTCATGTTTAGTTGATGGATTTGTGTCCTGATTCGAATCATAGTTCGTTATTCGTTACAGTATTTTCTCTCATAAAAAATACTCATAAATTGAGAATGATTCTGAATCATGATTTTAAATTTATGAACCACACATCCATTAAATTGTGCCCAATGTGCCAAAAACGGTTAATCCTTGCCACCTTGTAATTTAGGATTCCCGATTTGTGATCGATCACTTCTAAAAGAAGATTCAATGACTTCTTCTGTTGACTTCACTCCTTTTATGCGAACAACAGCTGATAACATAACAAAACAAGCTTTTAGTAAATATCATTTTTGAAGTTTATATCCACGAGTTACTCTAATTTTTATCCTTGTTTATTTTATTTTATTTAGTATGTCCTTCTAACGTGTCAATTTACTTTTCATTTTATTTTATTAGAAATTAATTATTCACGTGTTACGTATTTTGTTCGAGTTCTTAGCCTTGTTCATTTACACACAAACTCAAAAAAAAATTGAACTCAAATTACAATTTTATTCAAGTTCATGTTCTTTTGTAAAATTTGAGTTTGAACTTAAGTTTGAACTTGAGTTTTAACCTGAGTTTGTGGCTAAAATATGATTCAAATTCTCCTTTCAACTCAAGTTCTTATACTCAAACTCAAGTTAATGAACATTATTTTTTCTATGCTTAAAAACACTATAATTTTTTCGTTTTAATTCTGATTGAGATAATATTTTTCTATATATTTACAATGAGGAGATGAATAAAACCCCACTCATATACCCTATTAAAATTTTCCATCACCATTGAGTTTTTATTAAAATACTATTCAAATATAAATTAAAGTTTTGACCCACACAAACACAAATTTAAATAGATTCTCAATTTAAACCATAACTCAAAATGTGCACATCTAAATACAAACTCAAATTAAAATTTTAACTCAAACTATACTTAAATATACCTTAACTTAAATCAAAATCTGAACTCAAGTCACCTTAACTTTTTCTAACTTAAAAAATGCAAATGAATTGTTTTTTACCTCATAACCTGAGTGGCCAATTCCCAAGGTTGGATTACTTTTTGTAAAGATTTGTCGTTAGTCTCTAATCTAAATTAAGTTATTATACGCACGGGCTTAGGAAATAGCAATGATACGAGTGTTCATTTTTTCAATCGCTTTAGTAAATAGTCAATAGTAACCGATAAATCAATAAATATGTTATTTTTCTTGCTGAGTATATTGTGCTACGAAAATATGTTATTTTCTTGAGTACAATTATTCAAATTATGAAAAGATTAAATTGTTTCTTAAAACACGTTCCTAATTGAATTCGGTTAATTGTATAAATTATCGATTATTGTTAATTTCTAGAAAAGCATTTCATCATTGATACACTCTTTTTCCTTTTTTTTTCTTTGGCTGGAAATATTTTTCCAGGGTACGTATTTTTTATCTTCATTATTAGAATTCTGAAATGCCGAAAATCTGATTTCAAAGAAAAGAAACGCCAAAAATCTGATTTCCTTCTTATTAAGTATAAGTACTTACCCTACTTGTATATTATTTCCAGCGAGAAAGAAATAGGTTAGTATATTTGGGGGCCTTCAAAGAATAAAGATGTAGGGTTCGTTTGGTAGGTGGATTTATAATCATAATTCTAGATTCTAATTTAAAATTAATATTTATTTATAGTGATTTTGAATTATGATTCAAAATTGGTGTTTGGTTTAGATGATTCTGAATCTGATGTGATGTTTTAAACTAGAATCACTCATGATTCTAAAATCACCTTCCTCTTAATTCAAGGTGATTTAAACTCCTGATTTTAAATCATGATTTCAAAATCATAATTTGAACTCAAAATCATGAATCATGTTTTTGAACAACTCTGAAATGTCTATATTACTTTTCTTTTTCTATTTTTTTAAAGAGAAAGAATTATCCGTTTTTTTTTAAATAGTAGACTGATTTGAATTCAAGATCTTGTCTAAAAGAGAAAGAGCAATCTCATCACGTTACTAAATGAGTATGAATTGTGATATATGTCTACGCATATATGGATACAGTATAGAATTCTGGTCAAATGCAAAAAGATTCCTTTGTGGCCTGAAAAACTTTCCTAGAGAATTCATTCCAAAAATTAAAAAAAAAAAAACCCTTTTCCCAAAAAAAAAAAAAAAACAATAGTGGAAAAAAAAAAAAAAACCTTACCTCTTCAGACGTTAGCATTTTTAACTAGAAGAATTCCTTTTTTTAAGAAAAAAGGAAAGAAATAAAGATTGGATTTGGCAATGCCATTTTTGGATGGACACCACATATATAGTAATCCACCTGTCACCTCTTAATCTACTATCCTAATTTTGGTCATACCTGCCTTGTTTGACCCATTAGAATTCTAATCCGTTTAAGTAACAATATGGTTATATATAGGATCTTGTGTTTGGAGGATAAGAAAAAAAGAAGAAAGAGAAAAGAAAATAGAGATGGGTAGAGGGAAAATTGTGATAAAGAAGATAGAAAATCTGAGTAGTAGACAAGTCACGTTTTGCAAGCGACGTAATGGGTTGTTCAAGAAAGCTCAGGAACTCTCGGTTTTATGTGATGCACAAGTTGGAGTAATAATCTTCTCTAGCACCGGAAGGCTTTATGAATTTGCCAACACAAAGTATGTGCATATATATATATATATACATACATACATATATTTGATTATTCTGTTTATTCATTTTGTTTTCTCTTTTGGGTCTTTAGTTTGATTAGCAATATTAATTTTCTAGGTTGTTTAGATTTCAGTACAATATGTACGTATTATGTATGTGACAACTTATAAGAAAAAAATATAAATCTAGTTTGTTTTTATTATTTTCATTTTATAAATTCTTATGTAAGCTGAAGATCAGGTGAACAAAAACAAAAGAGATTTTCAAAATAAATAAATAAATTTTAACAGGGAAGAGATCCAAGTGAAGAAATGATCAGTTAATTTATAAGACGAGAAAGTTAATCGAAACTGAACTATTTCAGTGTAGATATGAGGAGAACGGCGAAGATAATTGAGAAATTGTTAGTAAAACTAGAAAGTCTAGAAATGATTTTTTTTTTCCTTTTCAATATTTGATCATTTGGAAAGAAAAGGTGAGATGAAAAGAAGAGATTCCTTAGGTCATGGATGAAGTTTTGTGAGGCAAAGTAAATCTGTCCTTTTAAAATCAAAGCAATCTTAGGCCTCGTTCGCTTCGCAGATTTAAATTTACAATTTAAGTTGAGATGTGGTATTTTCTGAGAACTTTAAACTGTAGCAAAAAAAGTTAAATGTGACATTTTCTGAGAGCTTTTAACTGTAAAAATTTAAAATTAAAAATTCAAATCGGTAAAATGAAGGAGGACTTCTTTTAGTTAAACAAAGATGTCAATTTTTGTTAAAGTCTCTTTTCAAACTAGTAATATTAGACTTTTTGGTCTAATGGCATCAAGGTTCGGGTAGGGCTGGACTATATAAGTGGGTTATGGGTTTTAGCCGGCCTTGTAAGAATAAATTATGAATAAATTACTGTTGATTTGAGTCCATTTAGTTTGTAGATTTGAATTTTTAATTCGAGTTGGGATGTAATTTTATGTGAGAGCTTTTTACTGTAGTAAAAAAGTTAGATATGACTGTTTCTGAGAACTTTTTACTGTATCAAAACTCGAATAAGTAAAATGAACGGGGCCATATTTTTACCCTTTCTATAAATCAAGTGGTGTTTACCTAATAAATATGTAAGTTTTCTTATTAAAAAAATTCTCGTTAATCAAGATAAAATGTAGCACATGCTTACCGGCTCCTTTGATGTTTTTTTAATGGGTTTAAACCCACCTAATTTTAGTTTAAATAGTATTTTCTCTTATAAAAAATTTAAATTTAAAAAATTCTGCTATAACAACATTTTCTCACAAAATTTGAAATAATCTAATTCAAACCACTACTTTTAACCAATTTTCTAAACGGACACTTTGTCCTTTTCGTTTCATTTTGAAGAATAAGGAGATGTTTGGTTGGAGGATTCAAACCATGATTTTAATAATGGTTCATGGTTCGCTACAGTGTTTTCTCTCACAAAAAATACACGTAAATAGAAAATGGTTATAATCACATGATTCTAATCGTCTCTTAAATCATACGTTTTTAATGGTTGGCCATCTTGTTCTTTATATCATGAAGAATGGAAGACATTCTCACAAAGTACAACAATAAGGGAACGGAATCGAGTGCCCCAGAACCTTCTGAAGATTTGGAAGAAACAGATACAGATACAGAGGTATACCATTTTTTTATAACTTTTTCTCTTCCTCTGATCGAGTGCCCCAGAACCTTCTGAAGATTTGGAAGAAACAGATACAGATATAGAGGTATACCATTTTTTTATAACTTTTTCTCTTCCTCTGTGTGTGTGTGTGTGTGTGTGTGTATATATATATATACATATTGAATTTTTCTTCACATCTTTTGTCACAATATAAGCTGCACCAGTTGTTACTGATTCTCTGCTATGTTAACAACTTGCCAAAGGCATTAATTCTTCAAACGTGATAAGTTCATAACAAAACACAGCCTCACAATCAAAATGTATTTTTCAACTTTAATTGTGGAAGTTTATGAAGGACTAGAACATATGCATATAACTTTGCTTTATTTTTTAATCTCGAACTGTTACATTTTCCTTTTGAAGAAATCTCAGCCGGAGCAAGATGCAAATGAAGTTATGGATGAAACCGAAATGCTAAGGTTAACATTGATGTAAGTCCTCATTTTGTGTCACTT